AAATAAATAATTCCAAACAGAAGGCGGTGAGACACCAAACCTGGAGTATCAGATGTGAAAAAGAACAGCTTGACATTTTTATTCTGTTTTAGCATGAACACAGCTGGCACACCAAGGACCAGACATCACCCTCAAGCTCAGTGGCTGGAGCAGAACCCAAATGTGTGTGCGTGCTCTGCTCACACGGGGCTCACAGCCACCTGCAGACACGGTCTGCTAGAATCAACAGTTCCATTCACTTGTCTTCACTTATGGAACACGCACAAACTTGTGATTTAACTAAATTATAAAAGCCCACAACATAGGGAAAGGAAATGAAATCCAGCGTGCTGCTGATCCAGAGGAAAACAGCATTTGCTGCCCGTTACAGAATTAAGTTGTCATCTACAATGACTTCACCACAGGCTGGGAAGGAGAACAGAGAGCGCTGCCTGAAGCTGTTCCCCTGTCCTTGTATACACCTTCCTTGGATCACTCTGTAAATGCTCCTACATTACAATGTGCACTTCACTACTTCTTGTACAAACACCAACAATTTTACGATCAGTGCATCAAACAAGCATGTCAAAGAAACCTTACCTCACAATTCTTATTTCTAAAAGCTTCAGAAATGAAAATTCAACCCGTGAACAAAAACAAAGCATTTACAGCAAAATGAAGCTGATGAGGAACATCAACTGTAAACCCGCAATATCTTTGCAAATAAAAAGACCTCCAACTCTCAAGCAGATTGTAAATAAAATACACCTTTCAAATAATTGTACATCTCTTTCCAGCTGGGACTGGAAAGCTGAGATTCAAGGCACTGAACTCCTGCAGGGTTAGTACAATTTGCTAATTATCAATTCAAGTACAATGACGTTAAGGATCACAAGTGTGAAACAGAACACAAGGAATAAAGTGTCTTCAGCAATGGGACAGAAGCAGGTATTGCCTTGACAACAAACGATCTGTGGTGATGCCGCCTCACAGTGATTGCTGATGCAGGGTACGGCTGTGCCCGGGCCCTGCCTCACCCCACACAGACCATGGCACGTACAGAGCAAACACTCCAACGCGACGGCATCACAACGCAGGGCAGGGTCCCCGTGGCAAGGCCGCCCACTGACAGTCACTCACGTCAGGGTCCCCGTGGCAGGGTCCCCGTGGCAAGGCCACCCACTGACAGTCACTCACGTCAGGGTCCCCGTGGCAGGGTCCCCATGGCAGGGTCCCCGTGGCAGGGCCCCACGCTAGGTCATGCGCAGCCGCGGGCTGGCCGGCCGGGCCGGGCGCTGCAGCGGCACCGGGAACATCCGCAGGCAGCTCCGGCCCAGCGGCGAGAAGCGCACGATGCCGGGCCCTTGGACCAGGCCCGGCTGCGCCACCGGCCCCGGCCACGGCACTCCGTACACGGGCGACGGGAACACGGCTCCGTACTGACAGAGAGGCATCACGTACGGTGCCACCGCGCCAGCCAGGGCGGGCCCTGGCACGGGCACTGGCAGGGACGGTGCAGCTCCAGGAGCTAATCCTGTGGGCATGGGGCAAGCCACTGGAACGGGGCACTTGCTCCCCAGTCCTGTCCTTACCGAATTTACCTACAAAAAGAGAAACACAACAAGTGTTGCTACAGGGCACTGCTCTCCCCATGCCAGCAGCGTCCCGGCCCAACGCTGGGCCCCGGGCAGCTGTGGGCACAGGCACAGGGGTGCCACAGTGTCCTTGGGGCTTTCTCTTGGGCTCATATCTTTTTTCCTTTTATTGGGGGGCTGAGGTGAGGTTGGATTTTTTTTGTTTGTTTCTTTGTTTGTTTCTTTGGTTTTTTTTTTTGTTTTTTTTGGTTTTTTTGTTGTTTTTGTTTCATTTTGTTTTGTTTTTTTAAAGACAAAATATTTGGAACTTAATAGAAAAGGCTGATATGAGGCAGAGGGGAAAGTTATCTTCGGAACTTAATAGAAAAGGCTGATATGAGGCAGAGAGGAAAGTTATCTCATATAACCTCATTCTTTAAGAAGACAGGAAGCATCATTAAACAAGTGAAAATTAACACCCTCCCATGTCCAAAGGAACTCAACATTAACTTGTGCATGAAAGTAAATAAACTTCACTCAACGCAGAATTAACCCAAATCCCACACTTTAAAAATTCTAGCTCTTATTGTTTCACCCAGCCACGGAGAGCTGAGGGTGGTGAGGGTGGCAGGAGACCTCTCGCAGTGGCTCGTTGCCCGGTGCTTGTGCTGGTTGTGCCAGGCGAGGCAAAGCCAGTAAGGACACAGCAGGGCTGCTCTGCCTCATGGGCCGCCAAGAGCAATTCCAGCCAGTTTTCTAAAATTCTATTAACATACACTTCAACTACTCAGCTTTTGCATGTGAGGGGCACAGAAAGAGCTCTCCTCCCTCAATATGGGATGGCAGAGCTTCCCAAATTACACACTCCATCCTGCATGATGCCATGGGAACTGCTGCTACCCCAAATGTTTGCAGCATTTCATTACATTTTTCATGTCACAGAATTTACAGCTCCCTGCCAGAGTTCCCACCGGGTCATAACCTATATATGGCATAGAGAAAAAAGGGTGTTATGTAATTCTCAGAGTCTCCCATCAATGTGATATTTCACATTCAATTGATAAAACTGGTATGAAGGTGAAATTTCAGCACAAAAAAAAAAGGAATATATGTTTAAGATTGGGTGGGATGCTTACTCTATGTTTGTGATTTTAATCTCTTCATAACTAAGAATAAAAATTGCAATGTCTCCCAGGATGTCCTACTTTGAGGCATTAACCTCTGCTCCTAGGGCAATTTTAGAAAAATACAGGACTCTTTGATACTCTCCTTCACTTCCCTGTCTCATTCTCACCTGAAACCTGAATCTGATGGTGAACATTGAACTGAAGGAGATGCTCCAGGATCATGAATTTAACACCAATAATGTATAAAACTCCACCAAAATTAACAGAAACCAAAGAACAAGAAACAGAGGAATCAAGAATATATTTTTAAGACCTGCAGACATCTGCATGCTGTTATTAGATTCTTGTTTTAACATCCTCAAAATGGTGGTTTCCACCAGCACCTGGGAGGAATGCCAACAGATGTTTGTGAAAATGCTGCATTTTGGACAATGCTCTCAGGCATGTGTGGGGCTGTTGGGGTGCCCTGTGCGGGGCCAGGAGTTGGACTATACTAGCAAGAGATTATTCAGTGGCACTAAGAATGTAAGGTGACGTTTTTGCCCTTTTTAAAAATTAATTTGAAAAAGCTTATTTTCAGCTCTTTTAAAATACTGAGAAATCTGACTCATTCCAGTTCTGATCTTTTTCCTTCTCAGCTGAATTCCTCAGTAAAGCAGTGGCTGCATTTAATGCTATGTATGTGTGACCAGAAAAAATTGTTATGCCCCAAACCCAACATTACACATACACATCAAACCTGATAATGTCATGATAAACACACATTAACGGTTTAAGTTTGCTTCCTTTACCTTCCTCCTATGCTTCAAGTGAGCTAAATACACACTTTAGGAGCCATGGCACCTGACTCTTGCATCTTCCCCTCGGTAGGAGCCTCTTGGGTATGACCTATTTTAACCATTACCTTTTTAACCAGTTCTCATGAGTCAACACTGATGGAGGCCCACACATCCCATCAATTCCTGCATGGAGGTGCTGACTGAAACAACAGAGTTAACATGTGCCAGAAAAGCAGCTCCAAAGCTGTGGATTTCCCAGCTCCAGGAAAGCCGTGAGACTGCAAGTCCCTCTGCTGGTCCCGTTCAAAGGGCAGCGATGAACTAGGTGTGTGCATTGCTTGGCTGGGATCACAGCACAGCCCTGAACAGGACTGGCTCAGCAGCTCAAGCCAGCCAGGCTGATGACAGCCAGGAAGCCCCTGTGCTGCACAGTGCTGTGTCCATGGTCAGGGCTCACCTGAGGAGGAGCCCGAGCTGCCGGGGCCGACAGTCACCAACCAGCGCAGCTGTGAGCCCGCGTGGGCTCCTGTCACTCCTGCCTGGCCAGCCTCAGCCCTCACAGCATCCCCACGGCCTCCCTGTGCTGAGGACCCAGACCTGCAGGCAGTCCTGAGGGTGGGGTCTCAGGAGGGCAGGATGCCATGTATCACATGGGTAGGAAGGGAAGCTCTTCCCCTGTGCATCTCTACTAGGCTCCTCTGCTGAAGCTATGAACTCACTGAGCCAGGAGAGACAGTGGCACCTTCACCCACCACACCCACCTCCTCACCTGCACGCACCCAGCTCTCCCTGCACTGACAGACCTCTGCTTTGAGCACCTGTACATGTCCCTGCAGGTACCAGCCACCAGCTCCTGCTTCCCCCACACCTACCTTCTGACAGTTTTTCCTTTGTGGCTGTTTATTCCCCTTCCCCCAAATAAGCACACAAATTCCTTTAGAAAAAAGGAATAATACATACACAGAGAACAACATACCAGAAAACACTGGTAAAAATGAAAAAACTTCACAAGACAAAGAATAGGGTAGTTCAAATACCCCAAATCTGTTGTTTGGACTTGTTATAATTTTTCCTGTGGTCTACCAGGCAAACTTCAAAGCGCCACCCCAGTGACACTCATAGGTCCAGTACTGCCAAACTACACAGCCAAGCACTGGGTGTGACTTACCAACATCATAAACTCTTCTGGGTTTATATTAGAACAGAGGAAACCAGGTAATTCTGTTGTGAAAGCTGACCATAACTATCACAACCCACTTGAAAAGGCAGGATTTAGATGATTTTTCTTTTGCTGGCTACCCCATTAGCATCAGTGTTTTCCTTCTGCATGGACCAGCTACCACTGAAAGGACACTGAGTCACAGGGCAGAGTCAGAGCTGGCTGCCAACACGAGCTGGTAAGGATGACAAAAGAGATGGATATCGCTTTTATCACTTCTGCCTAGTTCATTGAAACCCCAAAGCTTTTAGGCACTCCTGAAGACATCTGTGTGTGCTTTTTCAGTTCCCTGGAAAACTATTCAGACCAAGGCAGTGTTGAATAGGTTCAAATACAGATTAATTTTTTATTATTTTCCCAATCCAACAGAGAGGGAAGACACAGTGAAGGGGCTATGGCTTGGTTTTGCCATCGTGACCATGTCCAGCCTGGCTGCTCCCAGCAGCACACCCAAGCCCATGAGTCAGGAAATGCCAGCAGAGGTTCAGATGCTGCTGAAGGTGTCCAAGCCCCCAGCTCCCGTCACCCAGTGACACAGACCTGTGTGTTTTCAGAAACAACCTCTCTATGCACTGGGAACATGTTTCAGCTTTTTGGGGGTAATGTTTTGTTTTGTAAAACCTGTGGAGCAACACACAGCATGGAGAATAGAAAACATTTTTGGCAAGCCCTTCATTCTCAGGCACCTCCAAATAGTGTCTTTAAGTACACAATATTCAGTATTCTTTGCACAGAAGGCAGCTCATATTCCTAAGCTTATTCCTTGACTAATGCTAACCAAAATTACCTGTAAAAATGACTATTTCATCATATCTTCACAAAGACCACAGAGAGAAATCACTCAGGCAGTTTGACCTCAGTTCTAATATTTCCTACTGCATTTTAAACTGCTGCTGATGAGAATCTACCTGCATTTCCATGCTTCATAAAACCATTTGAAAAGGTGCATTTCAATGCTCCTGTGACACCTTGGATGAAGGCTCCTCCCCTTTTGAAAGGTCTCCCCCAGATTTCTAAAATGATTAACCAGGATTTGCAGGCAAATGGACTGGTAACTTCCCTAGAAACAAAGCACAATATGAAGTTTTCATTTACATGCCGATTACATTATTGCTGTCTACACCTCTGATGGCAGAGGATGAAAAGAAAACCACTCACTCTTATTAAAACACACTACCAGTTTCTCTTCTATTTCCAGCCTTAAAGAGTAGCTTTCACTTAGTTAAAAAATAATATCTTTTACTCACAGCAAACAATTTGCTAGTGGTAGAAGGAGTCTTGAGTAAAAAAGAGATAACTTAGGGAAGTGAGTCCTCTGTTCCAGGGGGAAAGAGAAGATTTTGAGTAAGCCACACAACTGCCCTGCATATTCATAACAGTGGGTGAACAGTAAGAGAAAATTTTAAATTAAAAAATGTATTTTTCTATTTAAATGTATAGTTAACATTTTGTATTTTTTAAAAATTGTTTAATGTATTTTTCATCGTGGGACAACTCCCTTCACTCCCACTTCTGTATGAAATCCTTTAGGGAGGCATTTCTCTTTACAATAATCCCCAGAGACAAGGCAGAAGTGAAGGTACAAATCCTGCCACCCCCAGCCCCTCATTTCTGACCACCACAAGGGACCACTTTTCCCAAAACAACAACAGCTTTTCCCAAAACTAAGCTCAGGTGAGACAGCCCACCCTAACATCTCCGTACTAGTTTGTTCCAGTTAAAAAAACCAAAACACAAAAGGCGTAAGAATCACCTTGTTTCCTACTTATCCAGCCTTTATTTCCAACATAAAACCTTATAACCTTCTCTGATGGGCTGGAAATCTGCATAGTGTTCCTTATCCTTTTCTTGCAAAGGCATTTTTGATCAAAAGAGGCGATAAAAGACTGTGTTACCAGGAGAAGTACAGCCCGAGCTTCAGATTCTCTCTCTCCTGGAAAGCCATTTTTTCCATCCTTTATGTGATATCCCAAGTTCTTTTTGTCTTTCCAGTTGACTCAGCTGTGATTCAGCACATGGACATCTCACCATGGAGCTCATCCCTCCAACACACAGGTCACTTGTCCAGCTGTCCACACTAGGCAACATCTCATGCTGCTCCCTTCCTCTCCTTTGGCCATTTCTCCCCCAATACCATGCAGCTCTCTTCTCCCTCAACTTCAATTTCCCCGTTAGGCCAATTTCAGAGGGTACAAACAGCAAACCAATGCTGAACTCCCAAACCAAACCTTGTCAAGCTCTTCTGTATCATACCTGCCACCTGCAGCATCCTGTGCCATTTTCATGGCTAAAACACTCAACAAAAAGTACACCAGCATTGTTTGCCTTCTGCCCTTGCATCTCTGCTGCAGCCAGCACGGTCCTTACAAGGACTTCATGCCCCAAATCACCCCAGGTCTCACCCACCCCAGGGCTCCAGCTGATGCCACTCCTCCACACAAAAAGGAATTGTGCAAAATGAAGAGCAGAGAATCCCAACCTCTCCATGCTCCTGGTAAATCACCTCCAAAGAACTTCAGTCAGCTCTGCTGGTTCCCCGGAACATCTGCCATGTTTCAGAAACACACAAACCCTCTAAGATCCAGTCTACTGAGACAGGGACATTCCTGCTCCTCTCACAGTGACACACTGCCTTCTCCGCAGGCTTTGAGACAGAGACACCAAAACTGCAGGAGGTAAAATCAACCCTAAATTGATACTGACAGGTGATTTAAATAATAACCACTCATTTCTCCAGAAATACAGGTGGGCAAAACATCCACATCTAATACTTCAAACTTCTGCAGCAGTCTCAGAGGAAAGGGCTACAAAAAGTGTATCAAAAGAAAGTAAGAAGTGACTTAACAGAATCTGCACCTTCCCCGCCTCTTTATGGAAATCCTCAGTTTGGGTTTACTAGCACCAACTTTGACTTATTTTATGAAAACTGTTAGGGTCTTAAGTAGACATTGCTTACTCCTGAGCTGGTTAAAGCATACTGAGTAAAAGGATAATTTACTGACTCGGGAAGCAGCAGGTACCAAAGCAGATGCAATGAAGAGGTTCCTGCTTTGGTACATTTCACCTCACCAACAGCTACAGAGTTACTACTGCTACAGGACTTTTCCCTTCTACATCTCAAAAAGGCAATGATTTGCTATCCAGATCTAGTTCTCTTGCTTTTAGCGGACTACAAAACAGCTCCACACTGTTATTTCCCTTTATTTTGGCTCAATTTGCAGTCTTCCAAGAAAATGACCCCAGCAAAAATTACTAGTCAAAGAATCTCCAACTGTGAGAAGGAAGAGGTTTGGAAACCCAGACCGGGGTGGGCCAGAATGGTGAACTGGGATTCTGGGTGCGTGCTCATTTCTTGCTGTGCTGCCTCACACAGCAACCAATCTAAAATTTTGAGAGGAGGGAATAACGGTAACAAACAGCTCGGGTGTCCAGTGTAAATAAATTAGGGGTTGAACCCTGACCTCTAAACCAATCCTTCAATGTCCACGACAGAATGTTCTGGATGAGTGGGCAAGGGCCCTGAATAACAGACAGGCAGTTAGGGAGGAATTTAGGAAAGATACAAGTGTAGCTGACAGGACAATTTAGAAGAGGGAGAGAGAGAGAGAGAGAGAGCCCGGGGCAGAACCATAAGCAGGAATGGGGGGTACAGGAATAAACCAACTTAAACTAATGCACCCCAACACCTCTGTATCAGCCCTCAGCAGCACTGAACACAGACACGATACACCTGCAATGGCTTTGTCCTGCTGCTGAGAACAAAAGGGACCAGTGGGGGCTTTTCAGTTCCTTATTTTTTATAGGATACTTTGACAGCATTTCTGAGGATGGTATTGTCCAACAAGCAAGGGTCAGCACACTGCTAGCTGTCCCCTCTCCCAGCACTGGACTCACTCCAATTCCACTCAAACAATGGCTCCCAACCACAGAGCCACCAGCCCCTGTTCTGAGGAAGGTTAATATTAAACATCAAAAAGAAAACTTGAGTAATAGTTGAAACTGAAGTTGAGCAAGAGATGATAACAATAAGAATATTGCTCTGCATTGCTATTAATAAGCAGTTTGAAATTTTAAAATATATATTATATATACATGTATATATATTGCTGCCCATATATCCCTTAAGATTACTCCAAAGGACAATTAAAAAAAAAATTTGATTTAGTACTGAATGAAAAGAACTGGACATTTATAGAAAGCATTTATCTGGAGTAATTTTAGTCTATGTCCTCCTCCGTATCTGAGGTCTGCAAAGGCTGTCAGACACATAGCAAAAGGTATGTCCTTCAAGGAGGGCCACTTACTCCACAAGTCTCATTCTGCGTTTGCATGGGGTTAGCCTTTGGCTCCATGTCTTGCCTTTTTTGGTTCTGCTTCAGTTGGTTTAAAGAAGGTTTTGTCTGTGCAGCTCCAACAGTTTTGCTCGTCCACTGGTCCACCAGCTTGTGCAGGTCATCTGTGAACGTCCCTTTCTTGTTGTTACTGTTGTTGGCCTGAACCTGCAGCGTCGACTGTGGGAGGGGCTCAGGACACGTCACCAGGCTGTTGGTCGAGGATCCTGGAAAATCACACAGAGAGCTGAGATGGTCTCTCTGCCTCACCCTGCAGCTCAAACCCCTTCTCACCTATTGCCACTCCAACGGTGGCTTTTCGGATTTCTAACCCGCCCCCTCCTGGCTGCAGAACACCTTTGCTTAAAGAAATGGTCCAAGTCCAATGGGTTTGCATTTTCTATCTCATCATGTTACCTTGGCTACTAATTTGTCTTAGGTGAAATTAGGGACAGGAAGTGAAGCCAGGAATGCAGCCCCATAAAGCTGACATTCCATACAACATCTCAGACATTACCACGAGGAAGAAGGAGGTGGGATATATTGCTAACACTGCAAGCATTTATAAAATGAATTTACCATTTATTTCACTTGCCTAAGTTTACTGTCCTCCTGGAAAAATGTTATTGTCACAGAGGTTACGGGCAGGGCTGGTTCCTGCTCCTCAGGGATCCCACCACCTCTCTCAATGATGCCAGGACGATTCACATGGCTATTTGTGTATTTTGGGGGAAAAAACCCCATTAGGACCACGAAAGTATAAAAGAGAGAGGAGAGAGGCTGTAGTGGGCAGGGTGACTGTTTGAGACAAAGATAGAGAACTTTTGATACACATAAAAGCAGTCAGGAAGAGTATTTATAGAGATTTAATTCTGTATGTTCACTTCTTTCCAGAAGAACTAGTAAAAAAAAAAAAATCTGTCCTTTTTCTGCTTAGTAACTACAAGTCTGATACAGCAAGCTCAGCAGGGGACTGCAATTGAAGGAGTCTGAATTTGACCTAAGCAGAAAATGTAAATGTAAACTTCTCAGCTAACATAGAGACAGCTAAAAATTGGAAATAAAGACCATCTCTCCAAGCAAAAAGTTCATAGAACTGTAGTAAAATGATTATATAAGCAAACATGAACATGGAGTATTTTCTCTGTTTATCAGTTACCAGCCAAAACCCAGTACACTAATTAGTCCTACAGTTACATAAAACACATTAATAACCTTTAAATGATCATGCATTCAACCTGCAACATCACTTCTAAGTGAATACTGCTCAATTCCTTTTCCTTACTTGGGGTAAAAGTGAGAAAATTAAGGATTTTTAGAAGAAAGCTCTTCAGCTGGTATTTAATATTTCATGCAGCTCAAGGGGGCTGGAATGGTTTTAAGCTATCAATTCTTCCAGCAGAGAACTGCAGTCATATAGAGGTGTGTATTTCAGAGACAGACACTGGACCCAGTTTCCTGGCTGCATGCGTGCACGGTCTCACACACAGAACACCACGACTCTCTTGCAGCATGCAAGGTTCTCAAGACATCACAGCACATGCATTACTCTCAAAGTGTCACAATTTATACAGTCTAGCTTCCAGTAAGTGCATCAGCTTTAGTTATTAAACAACTAGCTTTTAGTAAAAAATAAAAAAAGCAAAGAACATCCCATGCCATGAAGGAAATACTGAGAAACAAAAATGGGATAGTTACTACTACTGTGATCTTTGCCTAGACATAGTCGTTTCAAGGTGGACCCTACAAGGTAAAACAATACAAGACACACAGAATTAGGTAAGACTAAACGCAACAAATCAGACGGACAAGCTTCTGTACTTTTAAGCAATCAAAAAGTAGTTATTATGCAAGAAAGGACAGACAAAGTCAGCAGTTCAGGTGAGTAAAGGAAGCCTAAATAACTGGACAGCTCAAACCTTTCTTAATGTGCAGCCATTCAAAAGCTTTGGGAAGTACCACAGCATGCCAAAAGCAAGGGCTCGTGACTTGAAGATGCATTTGTTCGGTTTGTTTTGGTTGGTTGATTTTTAAAGTTTTTAAAAATTGATTTTTTTTCCCAAATTGCCTTGCCTTCCTAATAGAAGGTTTTGATTTGTTTCCTATTAATGCAGGAAGTAATGTCAATTTAGTTTGTGACCGGAGGCCAAAAATGCTTTCAGGAACAAGTCAAGCTAGTCTGGCTGCAAAGACAAACCATAAAACAACCCTAAAAATCTTGTTTTACAAGTCCAAAAAGATACATTGTTCTGCAGGTCTGAGGCCAATTGTTTCCAAATAGTTTATTTGTAGGATTTGTGTCTAAATGTGAGACTCTGAACTTCAATTGAATGGAACTGTGAATGAGTTTCCCTTATGCCTTGTCTGAGTGCAGAAAAGTAATCTGTCAGGGTAGCCGAGTTTTAATTTAACTAAACTACTTGTTTTTTTCATTATTGTCTCATTCCATCATTCATCATGATTTTACAGTCTGTTGATAGATAGCAGAGTGCCAGAAGTGTGCTGAGACCCCGACTTGACTGTCAGATCTTGCCAGACATTGGCACCGTTGCTATTTGGGTGCCAAAATTTCCTGAAAGGTATTTTGGACTTGATAAGAAGAATATTGTTATGGGATGGGGGGAGATGAGTGTCTGACATGGGCTATGGTGGGTTCATTGGAAAGAAGCACTTGGAACCATGAGCAAAATCAGACTGGGGCAAAAAAGTAAGATAGAGGATGATGTGCTTTTTCTCTAGAGTACACAGTGGTGTAACATTTTGTTACTGTGCCAGAAATGCAGCTTTAAACTCAGAGATTGCAGGTCCAGGCTGACACAGGCCCTGAATGAGTCTTCAGAGGAGAAGGAAACAATTTCAGTCAGAGACTGAGGAAGAGAAAGTAAAGAAACGAGGGAGGGAGGAAGAAAGGGAGATATTTGTGCTTAGATATGGGTGGCATGAGGAACAGAGGATGCTTTGAAAGAATTTCTTAGTATTTCATATAGTTCATATGGATTTCTACCCTGAGAAAATAAGGACATGACTACAACAACACAAGCGTAACCAAGTTCAGTTCTCATCTCAAAGCCCAGATAGCAAACACAGTCATATTCACAACTCAACCATCTGTCTCGTATTCTTATATCTTTTGCTCTCTTTTCCCTCAGATATACATTACCTTGCCTAATCCAAAGTTAGCTACCAATTTCCACAATGGAAACAAGTCCCCACGATGGCAGTGACCATGGCAGCAATCCTAGAGGCTATTTCCTGCTATTTCCTGCAGCAACAGGCACTTCTTACCACAATATGAATGCAAATGGAAAGCACCTGCCTGCAAGAAATAAAAGCAGGCAGCTGACTGCCGTATACGCTCGAATGTGTGTAAAAACACCTTCATCACCAGCCCCTCTGCTTCCTGCACAGCCAGGCAGAGGTTTCCCAGCACCTCAGGTGCCAAACCCGACCCGAGGAAATGAAAAAAGCAGCAATACTGAACACACTCACAAAACACCTGCATGAGGGGCTCCAGCTCTAAGGAAAATATCACAGGAGAGTCAGGCACTGAGAAGAGAGCTGCTCCTTCCAGCAGCACCACTCCAGTGTGGGGCTTGGGAGATGGGAAACATTCCCTAAGTGGCGAGACTGCCTCAAGCAGGGACTGACTATTATCAGCCATGGCTGGTTATGAACTCAAATTCAATTAAAAAGTCACTTTGTAGATCTAATTCACAAGATGATTTGTATTACTGCTAAAATTAACACTTTTAAGAACAGTAAAGTTAAAGAGATGAATCATAATTAAGATTTAATGGAAGATTGTGAAAGTTCAGCAGAGCATTTTACCTACAATTCCAGATCTCTTATCTGAGGAATTAAACAGCTATTATATCATACAGAACAGAAAAAAATCCACTGTGCCATATTTGCACTAACAGCTGCCAAAAAGCTGGAAAGCTACAAAAAAATGGAAATGGCAATAAACTGCTAGACCATTTCCATAATTGCATATGCACATACACTATACGAATTGCTACAAACCTGGCAAAAATTGCATTACACAAGATTCCAAGCCTAAGCCAAATGGAGCTTTGAAAATTCCACTCACGTTCAGTGAAAACTCTTCCCTAGGGCACTCTGGCAGTTTAACACAGGAAAGGAACTCAGGATAAAATTATGCCAAAGTCCATAAAAAATATTTTATTTCATAAAATATACAAAGGTGAAGTCAATATTGGACATGGGCAACAGATAAAATGTCCTGCAGAACACTGTGAAAGTGTTTCGATGGATCTCGTAACCAGAGCAAGATCCTTGTGATACTGTCTTTAATCCATCTGAACATTTATTTTCAAAGCTGTTGCCAACTTTTCTGCCAATGCAGTAGGTCTCCTGCTGGCATATCCTACCTCGCCAAAGGGCTGGCTTTCTCTAACCAAATGTACAGATTTGGAGCATTTCTGAAAATGCAGTATTGTGTATCTCAACTGCTCTCAAACAAAAAAAAATACCAGGGAAACCTTGACTTATGGAATAGACCCAGAACTCTGAACTATCTGGAGGCCACTGAGCTGCTGGCTGGACAGCCATGTCCCAGCCCTGTACAACTGCACAGAGGATGGAGTCCCACCTGCAATGGTTTGGGTTAGAAGGGACTTTAAAACCCATCCAGTTCCATCCCCTGCCATGGGCATGGACACCTTCCACTATCCCAAGTGCTCCAAGCCCCATCCAGCCTGTCCTGGGACACTTCCAGGGATGGGGTATGGATGCAAACATGTTTAGAACCTAATGCTTTTCCTGCCTGTTGGGTCCACTGATGTCCCTTCCAGAGGGAAAGGAACATGAGACAGCTGGTATTGCCAACATCATCACCTTCAAACAATAGAATCAAAGGATGGTTTATGTTGGAAGACCTTAAAATCCCATCTTGTTCCAAACCCCTGCCACAGGCAGGGGCAGCTTCCACTAGACCAGGCTGTT